GCTATGGGTCAGAGGTGACTTTACGGCACACAACAAAAACAACAATAAGGAAGCTAGTAGAGGAATTGATGCATTTGAATTATGATGTTGATGAAGAATACTGAAAGGTCCATAGACTGTCAGAAGAAAAAACACATGTCTTGGAAGAAGTATAACCAAAATGCTCCTTAGAAGCAAGAATGGCAAGACTTTGTCTCTTGTACTTAGGACATGTTATCAAGAAGAACCAGTCCCTGGAAAAGGCCATCCTGCTTGATAAAGTGGAGAGTTAGTGAAAAAGAGGAAGACCCCCAACGAGATGGATTGATACGGTGGCAGCAACAATGGGTTCAGACATAATAAAGGATGGCACAGGACCAGGCAGTGTTTCATTGTTGTGCATAGGGTCACCATGAGTCAGAATTGATTTGATGGCACTGAACAACAGCAACAACAACATAAGCAAAATATTGAGTGATCTAGGATGTATCCAAAGATGGAACAAATACACAGTGCCACTGTACCAGAAAGAACTGGTTGGTGTTCAACCACTTCAAGAGGTGGTATATGATCAAAAACCGATGATACTTGATCATCGGTTGGAAGAAGTCCAAACTTCACTGAAGGATGGCATTGATGAAAAATGGTACCAGGAATTGACAGAATACCAACCAACAAACATATGCTGAAAGAGCTCATTGGTCTAGGGCAAGAAAGTTGGAAGACAGCTACCTGGTCAACCAACAGGAAGAGATTGATATTTGTTCTCATTCCATAGAAAGGTGATCCAACAGAAGGCATAGACTATACTATCACTATACTATTACTATCACATACAAGTAAAGTTTTGCTGAAGATAGTTTTTAAGTAGTCACAGAAGTACATCAAGAGGGAACTTCCTGAGATTCAAGTCAGATTCAGAAGAGGACATGGAATGAGAGATCCCATTGCTGACATCAGATAAATCTAGACTGAAAGTAGACAATACCAGAAAAATATCTACTTGTGTTTTATTGACTACACAGCACATTTGACTGTGTGAATCATAGCAAATAGCTGTATCTTAGGTGGTTGCTTGAAAATTGTTAGAATCCCAGATGATACTCACCGCACCAGATGTAGAACATGGACTTTGTGAACTTTTTGGTACCATCAAGTTGAGACCGACTCATAGTGACCCATAGTTCACAACAGAACGAAACATTACCCTTTCCTGGGCCTACCTCATAATCGTTACTATGCCTGAGCTCATTCCTGTTGCCACTGTGCCAATCCATTTCATTGGGTGTCTTTCTCTTTTTCTCTGACTCCTCACTTAACTAAACATGATGTCCTTCTCCAGGGGCTGGTCCCTCCTGCCAACATGTCCAAAGTGTGAGAGATGAAGTCTGGCCATCCTGGGTGATCTGTTGGTTCTTTTGGCAGCCCATGGCTCTTCCCCAGTAGCATTTGGAGTACCGTCCAACCTGAAGGGTTCATCTTCCGGCACTATAGCAGACTCTTCATTATGTTTCAATATTCAATAATCAGATGCTGACAGTTTTCCACTGCTATTCATAAGGTTTTCAATGATTAAATATTTGGAAATAATCCCTCTCTCCTTCTTCCTAATCTGTCTTCATCTGGAAGCTCAGATGAAACCTGTCCACTGTGATTGACCCTGATGATATTTAAAATACCTGTGGCATAGCTTCCAGAGTCACAGCAATACACAGACCACCACAATACGACAAACTGACAGACAAGTGGTAGTTGTGAACTAGATTATATCAATTAACTGTGTTATCCCCTGAGATTAAGGTCCGAAACCTTTGAACCCAGAAAACCAATCCTGAAAGGTGTTGGTTATGTCTGAGAAGTATCTGTAACTGTGTCCTCTATGAATGATATATGTATGTATATATGTACATTATCCACACATACATGTGCATATATAGATACATTGAGTCCTTTAGTGGCACTGTAGGATAAGCACTGGACTACTAACCACAAGTTTGGCCACTCAAACCCAGGAGCCACTATGAATGGGAACCGACTCAATGGCACTCAACAACCACAACAATCTGTGTATACATATGCAAACACCTATACCTACCTGCATACATGTATGCCTACATATATACGTATATGACCAGACACTTGGTTTTTTGGTTATTGCTTGTGTTGTTAGGTCATTCTTTTTATCTAAAATTGATTTATTGGACTGGTTTCCCTACACATCTTGATTCAGGGTAGTTGTAGTGCTGCTTCCATCTGAAGGAGCATCCTTCTGTACGTTGGCAGAGGACAGGGGAGTAGTTACCACACAGAACTGCTGGTGTGCATGGCTCAAGATTGTGGTGACTTTATAGCACCCTGGGCATTCCACATCCAGGAAGCAGGACTTAGGGCTCAGTACCAGTCACTTCTTGCATTTCCTTTTCTGGAGAGGCATGTCATGTGGCAAGGTCATCACTGCTGAAAAAAGCTTAATTTTTCATTTTGGCACTGCTGTGTGTATTTTGGGAGGGATGGAGAGTGCATTGGCTCTGTAGCATAATCACAAAGTCGGTGTTTTGACCCTACCAGCTGCTCCATGGAAGAAAGATGAGGCTTTCTTATCCCTCAAAGAATTTTTGTTGTTGTTACGTGCCACCGAGTCAGTTCTGACTCATAACAACCTTATGCACAACAGAATGAAACACTGCCTGGTTCTGCATCAATCTCACAAGTTCTGCTACGCTTGAGCCCATTGCTGGTGCCACTGTGCCTATCCATCTCATTGGGGATTTTCCTCTTTTACACTGACTCTCCACTTTACCAAGCAGGATGTCATTCTCCAGGGACTGGTCCCTCCTGATAACATGTCTGAAGTATGAGAGACAAAGTCTGGCCATCTTACTTCTAAAGAGCATTCTGGCTGTACTTCTTCCAACACAGATTTGTTTGTTCTTCTAGCAGTTCATGGTACTTTTAATTTTCCTCTCCAGCACCATAATGCATCAGTCCTTCTAAGGTCTTCCTTATTCATTGTACATCTTTCACATGGATATGAAGCTATTGAAAATGCCATGGCTCAGGTCAGGCACAAAGATTTACAACCTTTGAGGCCCTAGAGAGGGTCACTATGAGTCGGAACCAACTTGACGGCACTTAACAACAAGTGTGCATTTGGATTTTGATGATTATTGAATATGTAAACCTCTACCTAATGTTTCACTCATTCATTCATTTGTTCAACAAAACATTATGCCTATGCCAGGCATTATGTTAGAAGCTGCAAATACAAACGTGAACAAGACAATTTCTGCCTTAAAGCTCAGTCTAATTGAGATACGTTGTTGTTGCTGTTCGTTAAGTGGTATCGAGTGCTTCCAACTCATAGCGATCCTGTATAGGGGTTTCCAAGGAGTAGCTAGTGGGTTTGAAAAGCTAATCTTGTGGTTAGCAGTCCAGTGCTTATTGTACAGCACCACATCCGGAGTCCAAATATAGAGAGGCAAGTATTGTCGGAGTACTGGTGTGGCACTGCTGGTTAATGTGCTGGCCTGCAATGTTGACTTGAAACTCAAGGTCAGCTGTTCAAGCTTACCAGCCGCTCCTCGGAAACCCTATACAGGGATGCTATGACTCATAGTGACCCTGTATAAGGTATCCAAGGAGCAGCTGATGGGTTTAAACTGCCAACCTTGTAGGTTGCAGTCCAGTGACTATCCTACAGCACCCTACCAGCAAGTATTTTATGAGTACCTGAAGTAGTAGGGAAGAACCATAAATGTCGTTTTAGAGAAGGCAGACCTGAGCTGGCTTTAAGGATGTGTAATGTTAGCTCTGAGATAGGGATGGGAATGGACATTTCAGAAGGGCCAAAGGGTACAGGGAAATCTGAGTGCTGTAGCAAAAGTTAAAGGAGAGGAAAGTGGAGAGCTGTGGCATCATATTTGTCTCATAAAATAAAATCTCTGGCATACTTTCTAACATTTCAAAAGAAGTAATCATCTCTCTATAAAATCTAGGTGAAACCTAAATGACACTGGATTTGTTTTGGGTGGCAAGGACTGGCTGTTCCATGAGGGCAGGACATCTGCTTTGTCACTGGATCCACAACTTTGCTTGGCCCCAAGCTGAAGGCTTTGAATGACTAGAATTCCTCCCTTCTCACGGTCTCCCTCCAGATAGCTGCAGGAATGTGCTTTTTGAACCCACATAGCGTGATGGTGGAAGAAAACATCTTGCAATCTGCTTTAGATGACAGCCAAGAAAAAACTACAGAGCAGTTCTACTTTGTAACACATGGGGTCGCCATGAGTATAAATCAACACCACAACTAACAATTACCTCTCTGCCTTAGTATGAGCAGACAGTGGAAAAGGTTCTAACCAGCGATCACGGACAAGTCTCCACTCTTTTGGCCGTTTTGTCGTCCATAAAATGGGGGCAGCAACTACTCACAGACCAGGATTGCTGTGTTTATCTGAAGAACTTATGGTACGCGCCCGGTAAAATGAAAAGACGCATATCCTTTCGGGTATGGAGTGGTCTAACTTGCCCAGGACCAGGCCAGGTTTCCCACCTGCGACGCTGCACAGTGGCTGACCCAGGCGGATTCCCAGAAGCTGACTTGTGCGGCCTTGAGATGCACAACCCACGGGAGGTGACCCAATGCGTGACCGTTTAACGCGCCTCTCCCAGGAGGCGCCCCCTAAAGAGGAAAACAGAGCAGCCGCGCCTCGTGACCTAAGGGGCCTCGAAAGTGGGGACCCCAGACTCTCAGCCTCTATCGCCGCCGCGCCCAGGTAGCTACCAAGTGCTGCCAAGCATAGTTGACCCCTCCACCGCCCCTATCCCCGGACATCCCCTCCTCGCGCGTTGGCGAGGACAAGGGGGTGGAGCGATCTGACTCACACAACCAATAAAAGCTGCGGGTTCCTGGTCCGATCCCCGGCGCGGCTCGCCATTGGTCACCACCCGGGTCTCGGCCCACCGAACCTTTGCGACCTGAGCCAATCGCGAGCCGGCGAGGCTCTCTCCTCCCCCGCCCCCCCGCTCCCCTGGAGTGGGAGGCAGCGGTCGCGGCGGGAGCAGGCCGGCGCCGTGCGGGTGGCAGTGACAGGAGGCGCGAGCCGGTGCCCCCTCCCCCACGCGGCACGCTGCGTCCCCGAGGCCGCCGCCCGAATCTCCGCGATGGAGCCCGCAGTGTCCCTGGCCGTGTGCGCCCTGCTCTTTTTGCTCTGGATCCGCGTGAAAGGGCTTGAGTTCGTGCTAATCCACCAGCGCTGGGTGTTCGTGTGCCTCTTCCTGCTGCCTCTCTCGCTCATCTTCGACATCTACTACTATGTGCGCGCCTGGGTGGTGTTCAAGCTCAGCAGCGCGCCGCGGCTGCACGAGCAGCGCGTGCGGGACATCCAGAAACAGGTGAGCGGCGCCCGGCGGAGGGGGCACGGCGCTACAGGGCTAGCGGAGCGGGAGCTTGTGCGCGGATAGCGGTCTGCGAGGCGGCAGCCGTGGAGGGGAGCCAGGACTCCACCGAGGAGGTGGTGTCCGAGGGGGCTTTGAACCAACCACATGTTGATGACGGGCACTAACAGGGGAGGGAACTGAATCAGCAAAGGCATTGAGGAAACGAAACATTCCGTAGATATTTATGGAGCGTTTGTGGGTACTGGGAGGCAGATAAAGAATCCTAAGCTAGGGAAAGAAAAGCAATAATACCCAGGTAACTGTTCCGAAGCAAGAAGTCTGAAGGAGGTCGAGGGAAAGCGCTAGCTTCCCGCCGATGGGGCTAGGACTGGCGCCTGGGAAGTAGGGGTAGTGATGGGGAAGGGTCTGTCAAGTGTCGGGACTGTGGGTGTGAGCCTAGGCTGGGAGGAGAGTAGAACGGTGCAGGAGGGAGGGAGAGGAAGAAGGCTGGGAAGTCAATTTGGAGCTAGTTGGGGAGGAGCCGTGAAGTCTGGTTAGAGTTTGGAGTTTATTCTGTAGCAACAAGGAGCTTTTGACACTTTTAGGATAGAGAACCAAAGTGAGCAGGTAGAACCATGGCCCACTTGAGGTGCCTAACAGACTCTGGTGGCGGTATGCTCGCTCCTTGGCAAGGCATCCCGCCATCTCTGAGTAACTGTACACATCCGCAGCACCCGCAAAGACGCCTCCACTTCAGTGCTGGCATGGGCATTGGGCTTGGGCAGTTTCATTGCTCCTTCTGGCTCTCCTTATGTTCCTTTCTTAGTGGCATCAGGTTGCAAAGAGCTTCTGTTTCCTGCTGCCACCTCTCCACAGGTGTCGCGGCTTCCATATTTTGTTTGCTCCATTCTGGGAGTTGTAAACAAGAGCAGGAAGATTGATGCAGTGAGAGGTCCCCACAAGGGAGCAAGACTTGGGCAGGTGGGAGAATGCAGCAATGAAAATGCTTTGCTCTGGCTGCCCTGGGGTTTTGCTTAGCATAGTTTGGACTCCAAAGCCCCCTTCCCCAACTGCACCCACCTTCTATCACACCTCTCTCTGCATTGTGTTCAGGCTTCACCTACCTACTTCTCTGCCCCATCAGACTGTGAGCTCCTTGAAAGCAGGGACTGTGTCCGGCTCTCCTGGCCCAGTGAGCACCTACCCTAACCTGGTGGTGGTGTTAATGGTGTGGAAGGGCATGTGGATTGTACTCACTGACACTGTCAGAGTGGGTAACACCAAAATGACCCCAGGCTGATGTGTTGTCACAGGAGAAGGTAGCACTAGGGGTTTTGTTACCCATCACCCTGTATGGTAACACTTCACCACCAACAGCCCTTTTCCTACCACCATCCCTAACCAGTCAGGGTATGGGGCAGTCTGCTGCTGCTCCTCCATTGGCTAGAGGAGGGCCTCCGTCTTGGCCAATGAGAGAAGAGGGGAACTGTGAGCATAGTCCTCACACCGTGTTACACTGGCTGGCCCTGCTCACCCCTGGTAGGGGATTGTTATCATTGTTGTTTAGTGACATCGAGTCAGTTCCGATGCATAGCCACCCTGTATAGGGATTCTGAGGAGCAACTGGTGAACTTGAACTGCCAACTTTGTGGTTCAAACTGATCTACCAGTCTAGCACATTAACCCACAGCGCCACACCAGGACTCCTGGTTGGGGTAGGGATGGTGACACCATAAGTTATTGCACTGGGTTACACCAGCCTTAGTGATGCCATTGGACTAGCCCACTGCCTTGAACCTGTCATGTGTCACATCCTGTTCCACTGATTCCCATTATTTCTGATGCTCATTACAATTCTGGTAGGTCAGAGTTGGGGCTCAGACTGGAAGACATGTGCCCAAGAGGACGTAGTTGATAAGTGAGGTTGGAACCTAGTTCTGCTTGACTTCAGAGCCTGAGCAGTGACGCTGCCTCTTTCTCACCGCTTTCCAGTCCACCTGTAAGTCTGGTTCTGTTGCTTCACACTTAGCCTGTTGTAATAGCTGCCTGACCAGTTGCTCTTCTTCTGGGCCCTCCCCACCTTTCTTTGACATGTATATAGTCACAAAACTGTATTTTTCACCTATCACCTCCCTGCCCAAAATCTTGCTTGGCTTTCATCAGGATCCAATCCAACCAATGATTCAGGCTTTGTGGCTTCCCAATTCACTTCCGGTGGCCTGCCCTCCAGAATGCACTCCTCACCCCTGTGCCCTCATACCTCTGGGTTTGTATCAAATCCTGGGGTTGCAGAGTTTGGTTGAGGCAAAGCCTGGTTGATCATGGAACCCCACCACTTATCCCTTTGCCCTGAACTCACAGGAGTCTCTTCCTCTCCCCTCTGCTTGAGTCCCTCTCAGGACAGGGAGTCCATTACTTCACATGACACCTTGGACTCTAACTGTAGAAAAGTCTTCGCATGCTGAGCAGTTTGCCTGCCCAGTTCAGGTGCAGCCTCCTTCAGAAGGCCTAGACAGTTTGACCAGACTCTTCATTTACAAGTGATGGAAACTCACCTCAAGTCCTCGAGTGAAGCTGGCTAAGATGTGACTGATTTCAGGATGTCCATCCCTCTGTCCCTCTGCCATCTCTTGGCTGTGCTTTCCTCTGGGTCAGTTTCATTCTCTGGGAGGCCATCTCCCAATGAAGGCCTTACCAGCTCTGCCTAGCAACCCCAGTAGAGAAAGTGCCTTTTCTGGACCTGGTGTCCTGGACTCATCCTTGAAACTGTCACCATGGCCAGGAAGATGGATTCAGACCTAAGTCATATACCACCTGGAGCAGGGGGAGTAGAATTAGCCTCACCTGGACCACAGGAAGATGAGCTTGTTAGAAGCAGATGAAGCAGGAATGGATGGGGGGCCGTTCAAAACAACAGATGCCTGTCTCCCCTGCTCTGGTCCATCTCAGTAGGATGGGAACAGTTACTCCTGAGTTCTGGTAGACATGCCGTATCCTAGGCCATGTGTTCCCTGTTTTGTGGTTTGGTCATTTACATTGGAAGTTTTGCAAGGCAGTCCTTTCCTGCTTTCCTTTGTCCCTTCCAAAGTGACACGTGAGTGAATGCATGCAAATGTTTACAACAGGGCTTGGCAGAAAGTGTTAAAATGGTATTGTGTTGCCTCTTAATACGAGCCCATCCAGACAATTCTGTGAATCTAGGTGCTACCATTCAGGTGTGTGACCTTGAGCACATTATTTTGCCTCAGTTTCCTCTTTTGCAAAAGGGGGCTGGTCACTCTAAATTCCTGGGGTTGTTATGAGAATGAAATGATACAGTGCACAGGAGGTGCCGGGCACAGTTGGGGTGCCCAGTAAGTAGTAATCATTTTTATAATCGCTATTATTATCATTACAAAACCTTTCCTCAACTTCCTAGTTAGAGTCAATGTTTCTAAAAGACTTTGATCTTGAAGTCTCTAGTGTTCTTCATTCTGCTTTATGATGTAGCACCATGTTGGTTTTCCATCAGCTTCACTAGACAGAGAGACCCTCAAGGGTAGAGCCAGCAGGCTTCTCCTTGTCTTGTTCCTCCTAGCACCTGCAAGGCGTAGTAAATATTGGCTGACAAGTGAAGGCTGTGAGGTACTCTGGGGTGCCTATTGGGGCCCACTGAGCTCTGTTCTTATGTTTGCAGGTCCGAGAATGGAAGGAGCAGGGCAGCAAGACGTTCATGTGCACCGGGCGCCCCGGCTGGCTCACAGTCTCACTGCGGGTTGGGAAGTACAAGAAGACACACAAAAACATCATGATCAACATGATGGATATTCTGGAGGTAGACACCAAGAAACAGGTAAGAGCGGCACCATTCCCTCAGCATGCGCATACGGCCTTGGTGAAAGTCCTCCTAAAGGATGGTTTCCACCAAGAACATCTGAATTAGTTAGCTAGAGCTGCTGTAACAAACATTCCACAAGTGAGAGGCTGTAATAAATAAACCGCTTTTCGTACAATTTAGGAGGCTAGAAATTTGAATTCCGAGCACTGGTTTTATAGGAAGGTCCTTGTCTGTTTTCAACTTCTATTCCTTGGCTTATTTAGAGAGATTCATGTGGTAGAGCATCTAATATCCACCCCCCTCCCCTGCAATCTGCTTTCTTGTTTGCTGGCTCAGTCTGTCTGTTCTTTTTATGCCTAAAGAGAGATCAACTTAAGACATACTCTGTACTAATACTGCTTCAATAACATACCAAAAAAAAAAAAAATCCCAAATGGGATTACAACCACAGGTATTGGAAGGAGCTCCGGTGGGTTACAAGTTTGGCTGTGAACCACAAGGTCAGCAGTTTGAATCTACCAGCTGCTCCGTGGGAGAAAGATGAGGCTTTGTGCTCCGGTAGAAATTTACAACCTCGAAAACCCTCTACTAGGGTGCTATGAGCCAAAACCAGCTTGATGGCACACAGCAACAACATAAGGATTAGAATTTATTACATACAATATTTTTGTGGGACACCATTCAGATTCATAATGTCATCTCAGTGGATGGGACCAAGGTCCATGGGTCTGCCCACCATTGCCATCCTCCAAAGACTTATAGTCACCAAGAGGAGAGACTGGCCCTAGCCCCGTTTCGCTGGTAGACAAACTGAAAACTCAGAGGGATTGTCTGTACTTCTATAGGGAGTCAGAGGTTAACATGAGAAAAATGAGAGACAAAAGGAAACCTTTTTACCTCTTCCCAGAAAGGAAGCATGCTAGTGAAAAACAGACTATCAAGGTTGCGGGAGGAGTGGGCTCCCTGGAAACTCACTTGTGTTTGTCTTTTATTGTTGTTGAACACAGACACAGCAGAACATACACAAATTCAACAATTTCTAGGTAGGCAGGTATGCACTGCAGCGACATTGATTATAGTTTACAGATTGTGTAGTTATTCTCATTTTCTTTTTCCAGTTTGTTCCTCTCTTGTTGAGATAAGCTCACTGCCCATCTACCTCTCTCATTGCTATTATCATCAATTTGATCCCTTTTCTTTTTTTTTTTTTTTTTTTTTGATCCCTTTTCTTTTTTTTTTTTTTTCTTAGTTTTTATTGTGAATTATGTGATAGTTTACATGGGAGAACAGTAGCTTTACATTCATCCTATTGTATATCGTTTCATTGCCATGGTTACAATCCCCTCCATGCATCCGCAACCAACCAAAGGGTATACACTGCAAGCCTGCACATGCCCATCACCTCCCAGATTTTCATATACTTTTTTATAATCCTTTCCTCTGTGCCTGCTTCCCCTCCTTCCATTCCTAAGCAAACAATGATCTGCATTTTGTCACTACAGGTTAGTTTGAATTTAATTTCATATAAATGAACTTGTGCAGTAAGTTCTCTTTTGTCTGGCTTTTTTCACTCAGCATAATTACATTGAGATTCATTTGTGTTGGAATGTCTGTGTTGTGTGTTAATGATACTTTCCATTATATGACTAGCTCACAATGTGCTTATTCATTCACCTGTTGATAGGCATTTGGATTGTTTCTAGTTTTTACTGTACGTAGTCCCCAACTTATGTTAGAGTTCCATTCTTAAGACTCTTGTCAGGTGACTCTTTTGTTTTTGTTTTCATTATTATTACCTTTTATTATCAGTATCTGTATAAATCCAATCTGTATTTGCTTTTAGGCGTTGGAACTATTACATATAAACTTACAGGTATATTTTAATACATATATGTTGTTGTGTGCCATCGAGTTGGTTCCAACTCACAGTGATCTTCTATAGGGTTTCCAAAAACAGATGATGGGTTAGAACTGTGCCGGGGTCTGGCCTCGACAAGGGGGTGAGTACACGAAGGTGGGGTGTCTGGCGACGATAGAGAGAGAGAGAGAGAGAGAAAAGCAGACACAAAGAAGACAGACACACAGGTTTGATGCAAGCTGCCAGACAGACTGCTCGGTGACAGACATTGCACATAGAACTAACTCTAGGTGGGATGTCTGGAGAGGCTAGAGAGAAAAGAAACATTCGGAGACCAGAGTGGATGCAAAACTGGCAGACAGACCCTCTATGGCCCTGCAAGTAGTAATGCATGCGGGCTTCAGTCTGCGTCCGTCTTTTATTTCAGGGAGGGACTTTACACAAAGGAAGAAGGGGATTATTAAGACAGGGTACAGAAATGAAATGTGATTAATCGTTCAAAACAGGACATGATGATTTACAGGAACAAATTTTAAAACATACATCACAAATTGTCTTGATAATCTAACATCCTTAATTTCCCAGAAATTCAAGCAAATTGTTATAAATTACTTTTTAGGTTCAAATCCCAAGGCAGCAGCTTGAGGTTTCTCAACGCTAATTAACATACCTATAGCACCTAATTTTCAATGGGTAAAGGTGAAAAGGATTTCAAAAGGTCTGAAGAAAGTCAAGCTGTTTCAGATACCTGGCTTAAGCTTTCAGGAGGAAGGAGAATATATATGTCAAACTGATTATACCCAGGGGAGGTTTGAAGGGGCTGCCACCATTGTCTCTTAATCCAATATTCCCAGAATTTACCACTCTACCTCAAGTGAATATCCTGGGCAGTTCCTCTCCAGAACCTCCTTGCTTAATCCCAGTAAACCTGTCCTTGTTCCTCCTCTGAGGAAGTTTTACTGCCTCGGTTCTAGGGGGAAATTCGGTTTTACATGGGTATCAAGAGTTCATGTTCTAAGTTAATATTAAACATAACTGAATGATCAAATAAGGAGCAGTTCTGACACTTATCCCAGGTGGCTATCGCTTGTACCTCAGAAAGATTCGTTCCCAGGACCCTACGCACTGCCAACACAGTGGAGACATTAAGAGGCATTATAAAAACCATTTTCTTAGAAGCTATAATTACTGGAGTTAGAAGCGTAGAATGAATAATATTAGGACTTGTACAGAGGTAGCCCAACAGTGAGTTCACAAACACCAATGAACCCGGGACCCCAGGAGGTCACTTCTTGGGCCCGCAGGGTTCATGGCTCGCCATACCGAGGAGGGCCCAGAGTTTGGATTTTCGTCCAGGTCACAAGGCCTCAGCTTCCCAGTAATTGCGTTTTATGTCATCCCTGACAGAACTGCCAACCTTGGCATTTACCAGTTCAGTGCTTATCGTACGTACATTTTTGTTTTTGCTTTTAAACGCCAATGAGTCTGTTCCAATTCATAACAATCCTGTATAGGGTTTCCAAGGAGCTGTTCATGGGTTAGAACCGCTGACCTTTCATTTAGCAATCCGCTGTTTGTCCTACAATGCCATACCAGGACTCCAATATTGCTACTTGTAAAACAGAACAGTCATGGAAGGATGTAGTTTTCAATTAGTTATTTTAATTTGTAATTTCTTTAAATATATTGTTGTTGTTGTTGTTTAAGTGCTGTCGAGTCGGTTCCGACCCATAGCGACCCTGTACAGGGTTTCCAAGGCTGTAAATCTTTACGGGAGCAGACCACCTCATCTTTCTCCCACGGAACTGCTGGTAGTTTCAAACTGCCGACCTTGAGGTTCACAGCCCGATTCGTAACCACTACGCTACCAGAGCTCCTTTAGTATGAATATAATAAATGTATATGTGCATTTACATGTGAGTAAGCTATTTACTACATACACTTGGTACAC